CTTTTTCTTAGAGAATATTAATGTGCTTTTAATGTATAGTTCCAGGTAAGACGATTTAAACATTATTAAAATAAAACGAAAAAATAAAAATAAAAATGAAAAAAATAAATCTGTTTCAGGAAAACAATATTTGCAATGATTCATTTGGAGAGAATGTATTATAAATATTTCTGTCACTAATCTTGGAACTGGAGTCTGTTTGTATCTGCAAAATTTATAGTTCTCATACTCATTTTTGAGTTCATTTTTCAAACGACTAATTGACAAGGATTAGAATAAGCGACAGGTATAAGGTATGTTTTTTTTGTAGTAATAAAATTTAAAAAATGTATGCAATATACTTAAAGTCGAAAATATGAGGATTCAAGTGTGTCTTGCGAATTTACAGAAACATATTTGTCTTCCAAAATCTCGATAACGTGTCTCGCAAATTTTCGTTAAAATATGTATCTCGCGCAATCATACGACTTGTAGATTTACGGGGAAAAATACTTTCTCGCGACTTATGTGAAAATGACCGCTTTGTTAATTTACGTTAAAATGTTTATTTTGCACATTTACGTGAAAATCTGTATCTTGCGAGTTTTCGTGGAAACGGATGTTTCGCAAACTTAATGAAAATACATACCCGGAAAATTATATGTTATTTACAATATTCAATACCATTGATAGCAGAGTTTTAAACACACATTTAACAAGCCTTTTTGGATACACTTCATTGCATCAAAAAAATGAACAATGTACTTAAAAATGTAAAATTAAAATCAGGAATATAAAATGATAAATTCTATTCAATACATTTAAAAAACACACTACTGTACTCGTCGTGCAACGTCTCATTGTCGGTATTACAAAGTTAGATACTTCAATAAATTAAATTATGTAATTAAGGTATGACTAATGCAATTTCCTTCTTTTATATCACTAAGAATGAGCTAAGAGTCTAGAATTGAAGTTTGCTGCTTTAGTTGGGATGACACTTTGCAGTCTCTACGATGGCTTGTGTAGTTTGTGACGATGTATCGCGTTGGCTGTATCCCTACACTAAATGTATCGGACAAACAATAAGATTGATGTAATCCCATACAGCTATACGTTAGGGTCACGTCTTGCCGCTGGAACACATATAAACGGGACAGGAAAGCATGCTCGCGGCTGTTTTACAAAACGCCTATCCAAATGCGTGATCCTTGAGCTTCATAGGAGTCGTCTGACGTTTACTGGAAAATGTCCCAGAGATTTTAATCTGGTAGAAAGACCAAATTTAATACTTTATATGTTATCAGTATGGTGATCTTAGCGGAGACTCAAGTCTTTCCCTATACCTCCCTCCCCAGGCATCTTCGGCCCCTCTCCGAGAGGAACATCACGGTACCAGGGCTTATCTTCTCGCAATGCCGTGCAGTTTTCGGGGCCAGATATGCATTATTTGATAACAAATTTAGCGTGCTTGTGTCTTTATTTGTCGCTGTCACGCTACGTGAGCAGAATGATATGCCAAATGCTGTGGCTTGTATTTTAATGGATCGCAGGTTTTATTCTGTAAATTATTACTGTGGGGCTATTTTGTTAGAAATTCAAAGCTTCATTTTGTGGTAATATTCTCACGTTTTTGATCAACAGAAGACAAAACCTAAAATAAGGAAGAACGGCGCCAAAGAAAAACGCACTATTAAAATGTTGTGAAAAATAAATGAATTTTGTTCTTATCGCTTGATGAACATTAAAATTCATGGTTGAAATAATCCTGTCTTGTTTTGAGTCGTTTGAACTTTCATAGACACTACATACAGCAGTGACCCGATGCCGGTGCTACAATCCGGCTGCGAGGTGTCAGGACAGCATATGGACTACGTATTGCTGTATGCTGAAGCAACTTTAATGGATTTCAGCACTATAGTTTCACATGAAAATGAACGCAATCGTCAATTGTTTCATCTAACATTATTGTTGCTCAGGAGATATGTAGGTCCAATAGAAAGATACCTATTTTGTATGATGGAATGTCCTTCTCAATAAAAAGTTTCTTCAGATGACACAAGTTTTCAGGACAAAAAGTACATATTTTGCATAAAAATTATGTGTAGAATGTTTGGAATGTATTTGTATTTTTTTCCGAAAGCAAATCGGTAACACATTGTAGTTAATATTACATGTATATTACAATTATTTGTTTCATTCTTTACATGCTAACAAATTGGAACAATTTTAATACCCGATTTCGGTTTACATGTGTAGATATCTGTTTGAAATAACTTCTACTATAACATTTACCTGCATTGCCAACGTTCGTTGATACTTACCTAACAAAGTATCGTTATCGTTTGGGAATTGTTATGCTTGTATTACATGTTGAAGGTTCATGATAAAGCAACCTTGGTCGAATATAACGTATCATTGGATCCTTGCCATTGTTATTTTACCTATTTTCTCGGTCAATCAAATGTTTTTAACAAAACTTTAAAAAAAATATATGCAAAAATGATGTTGCATTTCGAAATCACTTCCGTAAAACATTTACATTTTTCATAGCTGTTCTGCCGCGTGTATTGTTATCATTTTTTTGTTCCATGATACATGTCAAAAATATTAAATGATGTCATTAAATAATGATGCGATTTACAGTCCCGCAGTTTTTATCTGCTGTCACGTGAATCATTGATGAGGTATATCTGCGTGCAGGTTGTGATGGTAACCGGAACAATAGCCAATCATCGACCGACAGCCTCCGGGTAAGTTATTACTTTGTTTAAGGTACCGTTTATTTAGCATGCATCACTGAAAAATATCTAGCCAATAGATTCATGTGTTCGTTTGCCTACCAGACATACATATATCTAGGTATAGATGCAAGTCAGTGGAGAAATTGCAAATATAACTGTTTTAATTGTTGAATTATGTATGGCCTATTATAATACAGTAGCAATGTTTAAACTCACACATCGATAAATCACCAAAGGATTATACAGCGCTCTCATGATAAACATAGTGTGAGCAAATCTAGTATTGATTTTTTGAAAGTGTCATACATTTTTCAAGATATGTTATATACCAATGATTGTAATGTTAACCATCGGCAAAAACATATTTTTTTGCATTTTCAGTATTGTCTTTTGAAGATGATTAAAACACTTTGATATTTTTGGTGGGTCTGATGGGATCGAGTTAGTGTATAATCTGAAATTTTAATGAAATTATTGGAACAACATATGATAGGAATATGTAAAAAATATAAAAACATGGAACTGTACACATTCTTGGACAGACATGTTTACCACCTTTGAATGTTATGTACATACTTCCTGTGACAGATATGTCAACCTTGTTTTCACTGATGTATGCAATAATATATCATAATTGTTTTACATATGAAAAACAACAGGTTTTCGAAAATCTGTGTGGCGTGATAAACGTTAATTTAAGCGGTTTTTGGTATGTAGCTTGAATAAGGACAAGTGCAGAACAATAAAGTGATTAGACACATGCCAAACTAAAGCAGATGTAATTGAAATTAGTCGACATACCATTGAGAGTTTTGTTCATTAATATACAGTTTGCTTTTTGTGTCAACACTTACGTCCATTAAACTTAGTGTTTCTTACTTTTTGTGTACGTTCTATTTACTTATAGAAGGGTTATTCCGCTGACATTTTATAACAAAATTAAAATAAATAATACTCTATTTTATGCATCAAAGTTATAACAGGTTACAGGTGGGGAATATGGATCGTAAATTGATAATAATCTCAATAGTAGTAAAATACATCAATAGTAAACTTCACTAAAACAACATCAATTACAAATTTATTCTTTTATGTGATGTACATAATAATCCTTCATCATTTGTTTACTTCCGCATTCATTAATATTCTTTATCATGTTTTAATGTTTTAAGCAGCATAGTGAACGACATATTGTAAATGTTTTTGAATATTCATTTTTTTGATGTGCAGGAAGCTGATAATGAAGACATAACCATGGTGATCACATCAAAGACCACTGAGACCGGCCAATATCATTTATATTGAGGTTACATCTATTATAAATTATTTCTGATAGAGGAAACGAAATTGTTCCTGTTGCCAAACATAATTTTGACGATTACTGGGGTGTAGAAAAACCGAAAAAAATGATAAAAAATCAAAATAAGTTAACGTAGTTTGGGTAAGATCCGTTAATGAAAACATAAGACAATATCAAATATTATGGAAATCGGTAAGTAACTTTACCTTCAAACAATTACTTAATGGTGCCCTTTTTATTGTATCTTATTATATCCGATTTTCATAGTTCGCTCAAATTATTTAAATATCAAAATTCAATTTACAAGGCCATACAACTATAATTTCTTTTAAGAAAGCAATCCGGTTATAAAGTAATCAATATTATGATAAAATAATCAAAATGGTTGCTATACGTAGCACCGGGGTGCACCATTCAAAACTATTTTTGAGAGGTACACCAAAGGGAAAACAGCAAAGTATTTCACTGTAAACTGCGACAGGTCTACGCAATTAAATGAACTAATCACAGGTGCGATATACATCTATGTATATTTGAAAATAGCTAGCCTAACATTGAGCGTACGATGAAAGACCGGATATTTATTGTGTCAGGGCCAAAAGTGAAGGTTACTCGTGGATTAAATATCTCGCCTACTACGTCACAGGCGTAGCTACTCGAGCGTAAATTTTACGATGTCTTCTATTGAAACTTAAACGATTTAAAAGTCTCTCACATATTTCATTCATATAAAATGTAGTACTCGCCTGTCAGTGATAACTGTTATTCATTTCCCCATACAATGGACGGACGCCTCACTCTCATCTGTCGTTTTATGAATGGAAGGGTAAATGTATTCACAAAGTTATCGACAAGCCGTTGAAGCTAAACGGTTCTCAATTGGATATTTCAATATCACGTGACCTACGTCTTTCTCCAATTATGATATGTTGCATTCGATATTTTTACACTAGCATGGGAATTTTGGAACCATACTTGAGATGATATTTGCAGGGAACAGACCTTTAATCTAGCTGATATAACGGTACGTACTGTTTTAATTGTTCATATTAGTTTATTTATTTACTAAGTCTGCTAAGACGATTCATAAACGATAAGCGGAAGTAATGCATGCCATTCTTATGTATTAACAAATTATCAATATCTACCGGTTTCTAGCGTAATTTCCAACATTAGTTTACTTCTAAACGCTACGGAAGCATGGTTTAGAAATATAGCTTTTTTTTTACCAAATCACATCAATGTATTATCTTGGTATTTATCGATATAAATGTATTATACAACGATGTTAATTTCAAAAACTTCTGTGTTGATTTTAGCTATTAACAGATAAGATCTAGATTCTGTACTATATGATTGTTTGCTTTAATGAAACAGTATCAAACAGATACATATCATTATTCATATGCATAAATATCAAATGAACAAAATAATATCTAATAAATTACAGCATTTAACGAATGGGTAGTATTAACAAAATATTTGAATGAAAGAATGATAAATGTCAACAAACTATACAAATAAAGCAAGCATAGGATTAATATTCTGTACGATGCAAACACTGCTTTTTCTTTATTGACATTTTAACACTTTATGTACCACACAGGAGGGTTTTTATGCATTCTATTTCAACAGTAGATTAGACCAATTTGGAATTCCCCATTTTTTGCCGTAGGATCACCAATGTGATTCACTTTTGGCAGACTGTATCAATGACCAGTGATCGGGTCGTCAAATGTGTGACATGTGTGTGTTAGGTTCATCTATTGACTAAGTTGCTTTATGATGATTTATAATTATTTCAGAACAGACAGTATGTACGGCGACATTTACCAATCAACCAACTCCAGTTCTAAGGGGACATCTTCTGATAATTCTTTGGATGCAGTTGATTTCAAGATGAAAACAACCGACACTGCATTTGAAGCTTCATCCCTTTCACCTATGGATGGCGAGTCTGATAGCTATGACATCGGCAGATATATTCAGCATGATAACCACCTGTACAATTCAGAAAAGGAATTTACCAGCATTCCGAGTGCAAAACAGTTTCGATTTATTGATTTTGAGAAAAGGAATCTCCGATGTACACATTGTACCTACGTTACTGACAGAAAAAATAATCTTAAGCGACATATCGTCACAATGCATCAGGAGTGCCCCAAAACTTTGGACTGTTGTGGAATAGTGTTCCGATCAAAGGCTGCGCTCCGTGAGCATGTGTCTTTTCACCACAGGGGAGGCTATCGTTGTCAAATCTGTGGAAGGAATTTTTGCCGGAAAGCGTTACTCAGACGACATCTTACGGTTCATAGTGGCCAAAAAGACTACCGATGTCGGCATTGTGCATATGCAACAAGTCACAAAAGCAACCTAGAACGACACCAAAAGGTACATGCAAAAGATGCAGGCAAGCATGGTTCGATTACACAGAACATTTTCGAGGACGCCTTTGACAATAGAAAACCTAACATTGACAATGTGTCGCACAAGCTTGCGAAGTGGAGGTTAGAAACAGCGTCGTTACAGGATGTGTTTTATGGACAAATATGTAAAAATAACGAAAAAGAAGAACACTTAAAATTAAACGAGGAACAAATTATGCAACAAAATCGCATATTCAACTGGATGAACTTTAACATGGCGTTCTCTTCACTAGGTAGGAATCCCATTCGAGCTCGCAAGGACCAAGAGGAGACGATACCAGTTGACGTTATAAGGGATATAAACGACAATATCGACAACGCGAAAGCTAAATGTGACGAACAGTCGCCCTCGAATCCCGAGAACGAACAAAATTCTGTGAAGGAGTCGTTTGCATTGTACCTCAAACGCTATCTGATGAACGAAACTGATGAGAGTTCAAACGATGAAACAAACGACGAAAACAAAAACAACGAATCAGAAAATAGCGAAAATTTGCCAGTTGTTCAAGATGCTCCAAAACTTAAGCGCTGCCGGCTCTCAGCAAATCCATACAAATGTTCTGCCTGTGGATCGACATACGCGAGTCAGAAAGGTTTCCTGAAACATGGATGTGGAAAGGCTGTGAAGTCCGGACTGTACTTTCCTGTGACTAACATGATACAAAAAGGTGTCGCACTAGCAGAACAAAATGCAAAAATTAGCTCAGAGGAATCTACGAGCCTACACAATACGTATTTGAAGTCAAGTGGAGCGAGCCCATTAACAGAGACCACAGGAGTTAACATTGATAGCAAAGCGTTCTCGGAGAGCGCTGGTACAAAATCAGCATACACTTACATTTTATGATACAATGAGGAAGGTTCCTCAAAAACAAACGTTTCCTTGAAATCGAACTGTATTTTGGTTATATTGTTTTTAATGATTTCTTTTTCTATCAGAACATGTTTGCACGTATGATTGAAGTTACTTAGAAAATAGACTTTTAGTATTGTTTTGTGTGTTTCCTTTATCGACTAATTCGTTATTGTTATAGAGTATGGAATGGACATCAGATTTCCACAATAAAAACAATTTGAAAAACAGCTTATCTTTCAGAACTACAATTTGTACGTATTTGATTGGGCAAAGAGATCAAATTGTTGATATAATCATTGTTTCAATATTATTGAATAAAATCCTCACTTGATGATATACAATTGTGTGCGTGTGAGTTTTACGTTACCCTTTATCCTTAAGCACCACCGATGAGACCTATGGGTGAAATGGCCGTCTGATGCAGTAAAAACTGTACTTTGCTTGGTTTGCTGCATCTACACACATTATTTTCAAAAAGGAAGCTTCTTGTTTTCGTATTTTTAGTGAATGCTTCAGGCAATAAGATGATTGAGACTGCTGTGGGACTATCAGTCCTAGGAGTTAGCAGTAGCATTATAGCTGGGACCTAATCTAGCACGGTGTACATGAAACACTATATAATAAAGTATTGATTATTTGTTACATCCAAATAGTGTGAAATGTTATCGTTAGAAAATGTTTTATAATCACATTTTCTTTTCTCTGTATAATACAATATAGTGTGTTATCTGTATAACACAAAATATTGTGTTCTCTATATAATACAATATATTGTGTTCTCTGTATAATACAATATATTGTGTTCTGTATATAATACAATATATTGTGTTCTGTATATAATACAATATAGTGTGTTCTCTGTATAATACAACAGATTGTGTTCTCTGTATAATACAATATATTGTTTTCTCTGTAAAATACAATATATTGTGTTCTCTGTATAATACAATATATTGTGTTATCTATATAATACAATAAATTGTGTTTTCTATATAATACAATATATTGTAGTCTCTGTATAATACAATATATTGTTTTCTCTAAATAATTCAATATATTGAGTCTCTATATAATACAATATATTGTGTTCTCTATATAATACAATATATTGTGTTCTCTATATAATACAATATATTGTGTTTTGAATAATACAATATATTGTGTTCTCTAAATAATTGAATATATTGTGTTCTGAATAATACAATATATTGTGTTCTCTGAATATTTCAATATATTTTGAAACACTTTTACATAGGTTCTGCTATCTTCTGACCTACAGTATTACTTATCAGTCTTAAATGGATGAAATGACCATAGGATGCAGCACAATGTTTACCTTTTGGTTTCCTGCTTAAAAAAAATCAAATGCCTTTCGTCGTATTTCTAGTGACTCTTTAAGATATAGTATGTATGTAGAGGTATCGGGAAGTATATCAGAAAGTTACTGTGTTGACTGAGCATACCTCAGAAACCACGAACATAAAATGCTGTATATTTACTCAGCAATGTAATTAAGGTTTGCACATTTTAAAGCATTATATACTGAATATGATATAAATATTAGAAAGGATAAAAATTAAACCTAAAGATGTGTGCAATTTACTTCTTTGGCCAAAGTTATGTCAAATGGATATTATTGAGAAATGTCCATTCATGGTATTCCAGTAAGACACTTGTTTTTTATATTCACTGGCAACTTTCAGACTTATATTCACTGGCAACTTTCAGACCGGATCATTGCCTTGCTGAGTAGTTATGAATATTCTCGAAAATGCTTTAATAGTTCTTAAAAGATGCTACGAACAAGAGACTCGAATGCGGAAGCCTACATCCCGTTTAAGGCAAACACTTGTATATTTTATGATCCCATACATTAACCCTTTTAAACTTAAAGTCCTGAAAGGAAACAATATTAAAATATATAACTGAGAGCCCCAAAATTCACGGAAGGCTTAATCGTTCGTTATAACCCTTTAAGCAGTCCTAACCCTAGATATATCTTCATATGTAAGTTTTCATGCTGTCTATGACGGCCTCTTACAGTCTGGACTTATCAGGGTATTCTAGTAGCGTATGTTAATTGGTGCCACCCAAGTATACCCATGAGTAACAAAATTACTATTGAATATAAGCTTTTCAAGCCGTTAGAGGAAAACTATATTCAGGCCTGTCTCAAGCCTTTATAAATGATTCATTTTCTTTCCACGGAAGATTAGCTCATTTGTTTTAAGCTACGCTTAGCAATTTTTATGTATTAATCAATAAGTGGTCCGTCCTATTTCTTTTCAATCAAAAGCTATTTAAGTGAACAAGAATTATTTATTAACAACTCCTAAACCCAAGAGACACGTGAAACTTACACGTCTATATATGTGTCGTGTAACAACTTCCATTTTCAACCCAATCGCGCTGTTCGGTTTTAAATGGAGGTGAAATGAACATCAGCACTTGGTCAACTAAATAAAATTCTACCAGGACGAAATTAATATTCTAACAGGACAAGATTAAGATATCCATTGATAGGCCCCAGTTAGTATTGGATGTATTCCGAAATTAAGATATCCATTGATAGGCCCCAGCTAGTATTGGATGTATTCCAAGAGTAAGATATCCATTGATAGGCCCCAGCTAGTATTGGATGTATTCCAAGAGTAAGATATCCATTGATAGGCCCCAGCTAGTATTGGATGTATTCCGAGTTTAAGATATCCAAAGATAGGCCCCAACTAGTATTGGATGTATTCCGAGATAAAGATATCCATCGATAGGCCCCAGCTAGTATTGGATGTATTCCAAGAGTAAGATATCCATTGATAGGCCCCAGCTAGTATTGGATGTATTCCGAGATAAAGATATCCATAGATAGGCCCCAGCTAGTATTGGATGTATTCCGAGTTTAAGATATCCTTTGATAGGCTCCAGCTAGTAATGGATGTATTTCGAGATAAAGATATCCATAGATAGGCCCAGCTAGTATTGAATGTATTCCGAGATTAAGATATCCATTGATAGGCTCCATCTATTATTGGATGTATTCCGAGATTAAGATATCCACTGATAGGCCCCAGCTAGTATTGGATGTATTCCGAGAGTAAGATATCCATTGATAGGCCCCAGCTAGTATTGGATGTATTCCGAGTTTAAGATATCCAAAGATAGGCCCCAGCTAGTATTGGATGTATTCCGAGAGTAAGATATCCATTGATAGGCCCCAGCTAGTATTGGATGTATTCCAAGAGTAAGATATCCATTGATAGGCCCCAGCTAGTATTGGATGTATTCCGAGATTAAGATATTAATTGATAGGCTCCAGTTAGTATTGGATGTATTCCGAGTTTAAGATATCCTTTGATAGGCTCCAGCTAGTAATGGATGTATTTCGAGATAAAGATATCCATAGATAGGCCCAGCTAGTATTGGATGTATTCCGAGATTAAGATATTCATTGATAGGCTCCAGCTAGTATTGGATGTATTCCGAAATTAAGATATCCATTGATAGGCCCCAGCTAGTTTTGGAGGTATTCCGAGATTAGGATGTCCATTGATAGGATCCAGCTAGTATTGGATGTATTCCGAGATTAAGATATCCACTGATAGGCCCCAGCTAGTATTGGATGTATTCCGAGATTAAGATATTAATTGATAGGCTCCAGTTAGTATTGGATGTATTCCGAGTTTAAGATATCCTTTGATAGGCTCCAGCTAGTAATGGATGTATTTCGAGATAAAGATATCCATAGATAGGCCCAGCTAGTATTGAATGTATTCCGAGATTAAGATATCCATTGATAGGCTCCATCTATTATTGGATGTATTCCGAGATTAAGATATCCATTAATAGGCTCCAGCTAGTATTGGATGTATTCCGAAATTAAGATATCCATTGATAGGCCCCAGCTAGTTTTGGATGTATTCCGAGATTAGGATGTCCATTCATAGGCTCCAGCTAGTATTGGATGTATTCCGATTCCTTTGAAAAAAATATGATTATCCAGAACTTTCATCATATGCATGTACAATTTTACACTCACTAGTTTTACAGATATTGGATGTATTCCGAGATTAAGATATTCATTGATAGGCTCCAGCTAGTATTGGATGTATTCCGAGATAAAGATATGCATAGATAGGCCCCAGTTAGTATTGGATGTATTCCGAAATTAAGATATCCATTGATAGGCCCCAGCTAGTTTTGGAGGTATTCCGAGATTAGGATGTCCATTGATAGGATCCAGCTAGTATTGGATGTATTCCGAGATTAAGATATCAATTGATAGGCTCCAGTTAGTATTGGATGTATTCCGAGTTTAAGATATCCTTTGATAGGCTCCAGCTAGTAATGGATGTATTTCGAGATAAAGATATCCATAGATAGGCCCAGCTAGTATTGAATGTATTCCGAGATTAAGATATCCATTGATAGGCCCCAGCTAGTATTGGATGTATTCCGAGTTTAAGATATCCATTGATAAGCTCCAGCTAGTAATGGATGTATTCCGAGATAAAGATATCCATAGATAGGCCCAGCTAGTATTGAATGTATTCCGAGATTAAGATATCCATTGATAGGCCCCAGTTAGTATTGGATGTATTCCGAAATTAAGATATCCATTGATAGGCCCCAGCTAGTTTTGGATGTATTCCGAGATTAGGATGTCCATTGATAGGATCCAGCTAGTATTGGATGTATTCCGAGATTAAGATATCCACTGATAGGCCCCAGCTAGTATTGGATGTATTCCAAGAGTAAGATATCCATTGATAGGCCCCAGCTAGTATTGGATGTATTCCGAGATTAAGATATCAATTGATAGGCTCCAGTTAGTATTGGATGTATTCCGAGTTTAAGATATCCATGGATAGGCTCCAGCTAGTAATGGATGTATTCCGAGATAAAGATATCCATAGATAGGCCCCAGCTAGTATTGGATGTATTCCAAGAGTAAGATATCCATTGATAGGCCCCAGCTAGTATTGGATGTATTCCGAGATTAAAATATCCATTGATAGGCCCCAGCTAGTATTGGATGTATTCCGAGTTTAAGATATCCATTGATAGGCTCCAGCTAGTAATGTATTTATTCCGAGATAAAGATATCCATAGATAGGCCCCAGCTAGTATTGGATGTATTCCGAGTTTAAGATATCCATTGATAGGCTCCAGCTAGTATTGGATGTATTCCGATTCCTTTGAAAAAAATATGATTATCCAGAACTTTCATCATATGCATATACAATTTTACACTCACTAGTTTTACAGATATTTTTTGACTGAAAAAATGCTTTACTGACGTTGTCCATTGGAAATCATTACTAG